ACTGTAAGAATATTTAAGACCTCCCATAATTGTACGGTATGAATATTCAAGACCTCCCAAATTTTACTGTGAGAATATTTAAGGCCTCCCATAATTTACTGTAAGAATGTTAAAGACCTCCCATTTTTTACTGTAAGAATATTTAAGACCTCCCATATTTTACTGTAAGAATATTTAGGACCTCCCATATTTTACTGTAAGAATATTTAGGACCTCCCATATTTTACTGTAAGAATATTTAAGACCTCCCATATTTTACTGTAAGAATATTTAAGGTCTCCCATAATTTATGGTAAGAATATTTAAGACCTTCCATATTTTACTGTAAGAATATTTGAGACCTCCCATAATTTACGGTAAGAATATTCAAGACCTTCCATATTTTACTGTAAGAATATTTAAGACCTCCCATATTTTACTGTAAGAATATTTAAGACCTCTCATATTTTACTGTAAGAATATTTAAGACCTCTCATATTCGACTGTAAGAATGTTCAAGATCTTACATATTTTACTACTAGAACGTTCAAGACATCAGATAAACTACTGATAGAATGTTAAAAATTGTGTTTATCTTTCTGATTGTGTCTCTCACACACACAAAGTTAGACCAACAGACATGGAATATGCAGTGGAAAAAGAAAATGTCATTTTTATAGATATATCATGTGATTCAGGGATGCTTTGTAGTTTTATTTTTAACTTTCATGAAATCTCTTTCTCACTGTCTCTGCAACTCACTCACTCCCACACTCAGATCCCACCTTTCCTACTTTTATTTCTCTCCCAAACTCTCTATCAAGCACTCTTATTTTTCACATATTCAAACCACACATATTGTCAGGGTCATGTGTGTGCCTGATGGTCAGCTGATGAACTCTAGGAGATAGGAATTCGCAAGACATGAACAGCTAAGAGCAGACAAGACCAGAGCTAAGTTAAAACTAGATGAGAGCTAGCTAGTGTGCCCCTCAAAGTGACTGCAAGTGTCCTAGCAAAACTGGTTTCTTGCCAAGTTTGAGTCACAGCTGTCGAGGGTCAGGACAGAGACAGACAAACAGTGGAAATGAAGTATGAGATGTATTGGTTTTTTCCCTAACACACAGGTGTAGTGTTAGCAAGAGCTAGTTAGCAGTCTTTAGCTATAATTTTTAGAGATGTGTTTGTAGAATAGTGTATAGCTGTTTGTGGTGGACTGACTGTGCATACAGAGATTAGAATAATGTAGGCGACTGACAAGGTGTAAATTAATGATTGTAGAATCCATGCTAGCTTCTCTATTATGAGTGGAAATATGAAAAATAGATGGTGTTATTTCATTGTGTTAAATCTACATGTCCCATGTGTAGTGGGTGGGTTGGGTAAGGGAGCGGTGTCACAGGCCTAGTGCCAATATGAAAAACCTCAGTTCCCTGTCTGGGTTCTGAGGCGCCATCATGGGGAGAACAAGAATAGACCCATTGCATGTCGTAAGAGTCAACTAATTTGAGGCTTCCTTCGAAGTCAGGAGAGCATCTGCCTGAGAGGCGAGGAGCCAACAGTCTGCATACAAATGAGTTAGATCTGTAATACTGATATGCATGCAACACTCAGGTTCCAGAACAGGAAAAGAGTCCAGAAGTGGATTAACAGCTAGATCTTTCATAATTCCCATGTTTATTCTGGGACCCAGTTGAAAGGGGGAAAAAAAAAGAATAGACCACTGTACCCCTATTAAACATGTTGTAAAACCAACTAATAATTATAGTTTACTTTGAAATTGGAGTGCATCTGCCTGAGAAGTGAGGGACCAACAGCCTGCATACAAATAAGCCAGATCTGTAAAATGGATGTGCATGCAAAACTCAAGTTCTGGTCATCATCATCATGTGCCATGCCAACTGGCGTAGGCACTCATGCATCTCCATAGATCACAATTCCTGGTTGCCTGGACCAGCTCTCTTGATGATATCCCTCCATGCCATCGTTTCAACCCATCTAGCACAATCTCTCTTGTCTGCCTCTACCCCTTTTTTCACTGATCTTTCCAGTTGTCACGATGTTCTCCGATGTCTCAAGTTTTGGTACACATTTCAGGAGTAGACGAACAACCAGAACTTTCCGCCAGAGCTTACATCCGGTGAATAAGAAAAAGAAGAAGTAGCAGGAGGAGGAGGACTAACCGATAAACAAATGGAGTATTACTTGTTCTGAAAGAGTCAAGTTATCCAAACATTAGTATCTAAGAAGACAGCTTGCATACTGTTAGCTTTGGGTTATAAGTTAAGCAGCTGCAACTATTACTGTGTAGTGATTATCATGCCCAGCTGCCCCATGCCTAAAAGTAAACTCCCTACTTGATCTCTAAATCTCCCGAGTCTCGGAGGGCATGGAGATACTGCCATGTCTCTCTCAGCTTCTTTCTCTTCTGTTGATGCCATGGTAAAATGTAACAATGAAAGCATGTTCATTCAAATTAAAACCAAAGGCAACAATTGTAACAAAGAATAAGACAAATAAACATTTAAATATGCATTCTTACAAAAACAAAAGTGACAATATTTGCACAATAGCAGTGCAGTTTATGTAGACTGGAAATAACATAAGAAATGTTTACATAGGAACAGATGCAAGCGCTTGCAAAGAAATGATACTATGTGCTCATAAATAAGGATCTGTTGAACACTTTTGTGGTTTAACTCTTTGAGTCCCATGGGGTTTAGCATCAAAGGATGGCCAGTCATTAAAAATGTAAAGTGGAGAGGACTGACTTTATTGCACTGGGCTGTTATCCCATAAGCTTTGGTTTCTTGGCTAGCCCCCTGCTGAGAATATGGCACAAAGCACAGCTTGGCAATACCCTAAAGATAGTTTTTTTTTCTACTCTGTCTATGAGATTCTCAACATTTTCTTAAACAAAACAAACAAAAAACCTATACCACCTGCAGTTTCTTCATCATGCCACTACTCATTATCTGATTATGGAGTCATTCATTGAAGGAGAGTTACAGTTAACAGGATCGACTTCATTGCTTCTTATTCTTCTTCTTCTCTAGCACAGTATTGCCTTTCAGTGTCAGATTTTGAAGAGGCATTGGGTGAGAGCCTTGGTATGTTAAATGTTGAATAAAGAATCAACATCATAGCACTCGGGACACTCCCATAAGCAGTCCGTTCCCCTCTTCAGCAGCAAACAAAGAGTTCCAGTTCCGATGGCACCAGTAACTGTCTGACTGTATATCCATCTCACCTTTCTCTTGAGTGTTTAGCATCCGCCAGATCCCCTGGCAACTCCTCGCACTGCTATTCTCCTCAAACTGTAAAGATCTATTTACCCTTCCCCAAAATCTTGGTATGTGCTATGCAGACCTCTTGCATCAGGTGTTTTATCCCATATGGCCCAGTCTCTCTCTGAACAAGGGCTAGCCGCCTGCTGAGAGTGCTACAAATGCACAATCTCCATAGCTCTGCCAACAATCTGCAGGATCTTCGTATAAACTGCAATTATGAACTGAACAATGCAGGCGTGAAATTAATCCATAACCTTCAGAGCGCAAGGCAAACACCTTGACCTCTTCACCACAGAAATAAAAAGCAACCAAACATAAAAAACAATCACTTGCAAAATGAAATAGAAACATATCTTCCAGAAGAAAATGTATACTTCAAATGCATTCAAGTTATTGATAACAAAGATCACAGACTCAGGTATAATTGATAAAAAAGATCACAGATACAGGTATAATTGATAAAAAAGATCACAGATACAGGTAAAATTGATAAAAAAGATCACAGATACTGGTATTACTGATAACAAAAGATCACAGATACAGGTATAATTGATAACAAAGATCACAGATACAGGTATAATTGATAACAAAGATCACATGCTGGAAAACGCTGACTAAATATTAAGACATAAAGGCTATCTACTACAAAGAATAAATGATAACAGTAATTTATATATCCTCCTACTTCTACTGCATTCACACTTAAAATGGTAGTTTGTACATTGTGTTGTGGCTTTCAGTTAGGCTGTGATATCTGAAAACTTTGGCTCAACACATCTGATTTCAGCAAAGCCTTTATTAGTCACCTTATATAACTGGGGGCAGTGGGTTTATTATCACCCCCCCCCCCCCCACTCCCAAGTTGAGACCCCAAAAGAACCTAGGCAAGGGAAATTATATTTATAACAATCAACCAACTATGTCAAAAATGCTTTATATTTACCTATGAAATAACGATAAATGACCAAAGAACTTTTGATAAACCCACCAACTAACATTAAATGTACAGGATAACAAAAGACAATGTTATCTGTGTATTCCAATTCAAAGGATTCAGGGTTAGTACTTCATCATATGCTGATGTAATTTTTCAGTAATGCACTTGGAGAAAAACAGTGAAAAATATGCCAGGCAATAAGAGATGTATGCCTTCTCATTATTTAAAATAATGCTAAGTGGCCAGAGGATATACTTCCCAACTTACACTAAATGGAAAAAAGATATACTTTCTAACTTACTCTAAACAGCCAAAGCATCTCAGATATACCTACCAACTACCCCTACGTTAACAATGAATACAAACTGACAAATCAACATTACATTCATATAACAAAAAATACAAACACAATCGAGCAGAACACTTTCTTCTTAAGAAAAATAAATAACACAAATTACAGCTAACAGTTGAAGAAAAAAATAACAACACAAATACAGCTAACAGTTGAAGAAAAAAATAACAACACAAATACAGCCAACAGTTGAAGAAAAAAATAAACAACACAAATACAGCTAACAGTTGAAGAAAAAACTAACAACACAAATACAGCTAACAGTTGAAGAAAAAACTAACAACACAAATACAGCTAACAGTTGAAGAAAAAACTAACAACACAAATACAGCTAACAGTTGAAGAAAAAACTAACAACACAAATACAGCCAACAGTTGAAGAAAAAAACTAACAACACAAATACAGCTAGCTTTACACTATAAGATATTTGAGAAAACCTACTTCGATGTTGCCACGCCATCTGTCTGCGGCATTTCGGGCAAGTTCCAGTTCTTTCTCCTTTAAGCCGCGGTGACGTTTGTAAGCTATCTCAATGAAAATGAGAAGCACCCCCGCTACAATCCCCCCAGCAACCATCATAAACACACCTAGGGGAGAAAGATGAATGCCAGTTGTCAAATAGGAACATTGTCAAGGTAAAATACATCTACATTCTTCTTCTTCTTTTTCAGCTCTTTATCTTTCAGCGGAGCTTAGGCTATAAACCCAGTCAGACCAAATCATCTTATCATTAGCTATGGGGGTGACTGCACCAGTGTTTGGTGTTTGAAAAAGGCTGCCTGGCTGAAACGTTACGTTGTGTTGTTTTGTGCACGTTTTCCTCTTTCCCATTTTGTTGAGCTTTTCAGTCAAATTTCTCTGGAATTTATCATTAGCTAACTCTTGCAAGTCCCTCCTTGTCTTTCACATATTGCTGATCTCTCATCTCAAATTGTCTTCTTAATATGTTTTCACGATTTTCCTCTATTTCTTTTGCACTGCTGATTCCAGTGAAGGGACTTTGTATTACCATCCAGCTTCCTCAATGTGTGTCCTAACCTGTGCCAGGATTTTTTACTCACTATCTAATTCACTGGAATTTGTTTAGTTCACTTCTCTGAGCCCAACTTTAATGACTTTGTCATTCCTCTCCGTTAAGTGCAGGTACCAAAAATTACATTCTTATAGTTTATTAGTGACTGTTTTAGCCATGTCTCAAGTTTCTAATCCATTCAGCAGAAATGAACTGACACTGTAGTTACATTTTCAAAATTTAGGACTACGGTAAAACCTCACTGACACAAAATTCCAAGGGACAGAAAAATCAAGAGTTCATGTTTAAAAAATGTATGCTAATCCGGGACTAATAGATGCAGTATGATACTACATTCCTGCTGGGACTAAAATTGTGTTCATTTAAATTGATTTTTGTTTTAAGTCTATTCGTGGTAATGAGGTTTTACAGTAGCTGTAATTTCCTTTGACTTCAATAAAGGTTCTGATGTTGTGTTATGTCCTAATGTTTCGAAATATCCTAATGCTGTGAAATATCCTAATACTATGTATTGCTCCTCTTGCATTTTGCTATCTACATTTATCTATTTATAACATCAAGCTGGTACTGCCGTATAGGGAAAAAAAAAAAAAAACACACACAAAAAAACCAAGGAAAACAATCGAGACAGTCAGTAATAAACCACAATTATTCATTAACTGGTGTCTCAGCAAAATAGAAAATAAAATGGTACGAAAAAACAAGCTATAACTATCCATATTTTTTTTCTCTAAAAAATATTACAAGAAATGCAATTTTTATTATTTGAAAAAAAAAAAACATGCCATAATTCTAGCCACATCAAGGACTGGGAAATGTTAATAATTATATCTAGCACATTAAAAATAAAAGGTTGCTAGTTAATCTCTTTCCACTCACCCACTTTAGCTCCATCTCATCTCTCTCACTTAAGCTCTCATTCTCATCCTTTTCTCATTTACAAATGTATGCTAACACGTGCACTCATGCAGGCACACACACGCACACACACACACTCTCTCTCATTCTCTCTCTCTCAACAATGAATGTTACACACCTGCCATATTGGTCAAGCCCAAGGTAGCTGGGGCAGAGTTGCTCTCTGGACATGACGACCTGCTGTCCACTCGAATCCAACGATTGTCCAGCTGTTCCATAAAGCCACCTGTGTATTAGTTAAGTAATCATGAGAAAATAGCAGTGACCCAAAATTTCAGGATGTTGGAGAGTAATTTTACTGATAATGATATTTGATCATGTTGGCTGGCAATGTAGATGATAAAATGTCACTTGGTAATGTAGATTATTAAATGTTTTATGATTATGTTGGTTGGTGATATTGGCTGACAATGTTGGTTGGTGATATTGGCTGAAAATGTTGGTTGGTGATATTGGCTGACAATGTTGGTTGGTGATATTGGCTGACAATGTTGGTTGGTGATATTGGCTGACAATGTTGGTTGGTGATATTGGCTGTGTTGGTGATATTGGCTGACAATGTTGGTTGGTGATATTGGCTGACAATGTTGGTTGGTGATATTGGCTGACGATGTTGGTTGGTGATATTGGCTGAAAATGTTGGCAGGCTGGTTGTGAATACTCTGGGAGAATGACTTTTCACTCTTGTCTGATGCAATAATGTTAAAGTTATCTAAGGTCTCATTGGAGAAAAACAAGAATAAATCCACTACCTCGCCTACATATTGCAACAGCTGACTAATTAGGGGTTTCTTTTGAAGTCGGAGTTCATTTGACCGAGATGAATTGAGTCAAGAATTGACATCACAGCACTTGAGGCATTTCCATGCATGCTTCATCCTCATCTTCAGCAGCCAGCGCAGAGTTTCATTACTGATGGTACCGGTCACAATCTGGTTAAAAGTTCATCTTGCCTTTCCTCTGAGTGTAGTGAGCCGGCCAGACCCTCTGGTTACACCCAGGTGCCTCATTCTCTCCAGGTCATAATAATCATCTTTCTCCACTGATTCCATTGCTTGTTTCCAAAAGGCCTTGACCACATCTGCCTTGTCATCTATCAATTCACCACCCAGTGGTGTAGATCTAGCCAATCTGTCTGCCTGTTCATTACCCACTACACGGGCATGGCTTGGAGAAAAGATCCAAAGTATGCTCACTACCCGGGACCTTCCCAGTTCATCTGCATCTGCCTGAGAGGTGAAGAATTAACAGTCTGCATACAAATAAGCCAGATCTGTAAAACAGATAAGCACGCAAAACCAAAGTTCTGGAACAATACCATAAATGGATGAACAACCAGAACTTTACAGAAGTTTACAGCCAGTAAATGTGAGGACAAGAAGAAGTCTGAGACCTGAATTTGCCTAATAACAGTCAGAGTGACTGAGTGACTCTTGGACCAGTAGAAAAGTATCATCTCAAAATCTTAACATAGAACAGTCATCTTCATCAGTTATTCTTACCATTATTGCAGACTTTCTACTTTATTGTGCTCTCTGTATTTATTATTTTTGTTAAATATCATACAAACAGACTTATACCTTCTGTAGATTTATAGTTATTTTGTAAACACCTATACAAGTTTAATGTGCAATAAAAGTGACTTTTCACAAACAAAACCAGTACAACCCCATTGTGCTATGATTCCATGGGAGGTGGGTTCTACAGATTTGATTTCCCTAGTTATATAATATAATTATAAATTCATAAACTCATTGCCTCACTTTCATGCATGTCAAGGACAGCCATTGAGACCTCATGTGTCCAGGGACTATTCTTCTGTAGACCAATCCCAAGTCCTGAGCGGCCAAACAGGTCCCCAGCTGTGGTTAGGTCACAGTCATGTGCTGCTTCATACTCCAGACGAGGGGAGTCCCAGATAAAAGCCTGTAGTTCCCTGAGGAATAACATAAATTACCCTTATACAGATCACATATAATTTACACAGGGAATTAAGTTATCATAGGAGGAAGATTTTTTTTTCTAAAGACAAACGTGGGTGTCACCAGACCACAATATAGTGAATAAAATTTATCACATTTATGTTAACAAGAATTCTGCCATCTCTACATGAAATAACAATATATTTAGAGATGCACAATTAGATTGATAAGTAAAATTAAAGTTAAACATAAAAGAAGCATAACTTTTTACAAACATGAGAAGCAATACACTGTATGATTTCTCAGAAATCTAGAAATTTAAACAATTTATTGTCACAGTTTTTAAACAAATGCAGCATTTACAACAGTGACTTAGGTGTTGCAAACACACTTTGTAATCAGCAGTCATCCCTGTTTACAGCAGTTATCCATATTGACAGCAGTCATCTCTGTTTACAGCAGTCATCCCTGTTTGCAGCAGTCATTCCTGTTTGCAGCAGTAAACCCTGTTTGCAGCAGTCATCCCTGTTTGCAGCAGTCCTCTCTGCAGCAGTCATTCCTGTTTTCGGCAGTTATTCATATTGACAACAGTCATCCCTGTTCGCAGCAGTCATCCCTGTTCGCAGCAGTCATCCGTTTGCAGCAGTCATCTCTGCAGCAGTCATCCCTGTTTGCAGTAGTCATCCCTGTTTATCAAGAAACACAGTTGAAAATGATTTTTAGCAGCACCAAGTGAGCTCCAGGGCAACATTTAGATGGGTGGCGTGGGGGGGGGGGGGGGGGGGGGGGGGACAAAACCCCTTAACAAAGTTAATTGTGTATCCTTTTTGTGTGTGGCTGTTGTGGTTTTTCTAGGCAATTTTAAGTCCAATAGTTTGCCACTGCTTCTGAACGGTCTTCTTTCAGTACCACTGGTGAAACCAACGCAAGACAAACCATCTGCAGCTAGGATCAAACCGGGCACCCTGGTATTACAAAGCGTGTTCGCAACACTTAAGCCACTGATTCCGACCTCTTAACAAGCATGACATAAAAGGAGATTTTTCCTTTAAAGTTGGAATGCATCTGCCTGAAAGGCCGGTAACCATCAATCTGCACAAAAATATGCCAGACCCGTAAAGCAGATGTGCACATAAAACTCAAGTTCCAGAACAAGACCAAAGTCCAGAAATGGACAAACATCCAGGACTTTCCATCGGGGTTTGCAGCTGGTGAACGCTAAGAAGAAGAAGAATTTAAGCAAAAAAGATAAATGTAGACAAAATCACCCTTTACGAATATCCTCAATGGCAGCCTCTGCTGTAAGATACTGCTTCTGTTTCTCCATGTTCCGGTACATTGTGGACAGTTCCACCTGGTTCTTGAAGTACATCTCAACGGCACTTCCCTTCACCGTGGCATACTTGAACTTCTCATTTGGATTGCGCAGCTGAAAATGAACAAATAAAACAACATTAATTTGACAGTACCTTGATGCAAAAAAAATTTCCTATGATGATTACAACCTCTTAGGAGTAAGGTGTGAGGTCAGGCCTTCAATTTTCTTCTTCTCTGCATTCACTGGCTATGAACTCTGGTGCAAAGTTCTGGTTGTTGGTCCACTTCTGGATTCTTCTCTAGTTCAAAAACTTGACTTTTGTGCACCCATCTGTTTGACAGATCTGGCTGTTTTGTATGTTGACCTCTGGTTCCTTGTCTCTCAGATGCACTCCAGTTTTGGAGAAAACATCATTAATTAGACAACTTTTATGACAGGCTTATTAAGGGGGCAGTAGGTGCACTCTTTTCTCTTCCACAATAAGGCCCTAAAACCCAGGCTGCATCTGCCTCAGACATGAGGAACCAACAGACTGCATAAAAGTGTATGAAAAGCCAGAACCTTCTGCTGTAGTTTACAGCCCATGAATGTTGAAGAAGAAGAAGAAGATTAGAGAATGCAACAAGTACTGAGGAAAAAGCCTGGACCACTGTCTTACAAGAGAGCTGCGCTAAAGCAGTAGCTGACATACTTGTCTTCCAGCCTGGCAGTGACGTGTTCCTACTGATGGGGGGATTATGTGTTTTAAAGTGACCAGCCTAGAATGGTACCTGGAAATGTCTGGGGACTGAAGGCTGCTAGGATAATACTGACTGCATCATCTCTAAAGTTCAAATTATACTACACAATATAGGACTAGCACCAGATACCCAGATAGGCTTCAAGGCTTGAAAATAGATCCTTGACTTGACGTACACAGATCCTTGACTTGACATACACATAGCCAATGTTATTTTTTTGAACTTTTCTGACTTTCAAGTAAATAGTGTTCCACTGTGCAATAGGGAGGCATAAGAATCACAGTCCCTGATAACATCTTTTACACCAACAGTGAGTTGCAATTCCGGTTTAAGGCCGTTAGTTTTTGCACATCTGATAGCTGCCTTATGCATTTTTCTTTGCATGGGCAAGCTTCAAGATTTTGCTGTGACTGACACTATTTTTTAAAATCAGTCAGTGAGGGACATTTTGTGCGATTTCTTCTGGTACAGGATTGGAGCAGTTATGGAGCGACCTATCTGCAGTGAAGTTGGAACCTTGACTAATGACCTATCATGGCACTCTTTCTTTCCACAGGACAAAACCAGGACAGGATTGCTGAGACCATGTGTTGCTCATGTAGTAATATCCCTCTCTTGGCCTACTTTGTTGACACCAAAGGAACAATAACACCAATACAGTATAGACAATATGCTTTAGTGATAAGGCTTCACCTCTGTTTGCAACTCTCAAAGGTTTTGAGGTTAGGTGTATTCTTCTTCTTCTTTGTGTTTGGTTTCGTATGCTCAGATCAAACCATCAGGCTCTATGAACTCGCATGTCAACTGCAGGTCCTTCATTGTTCCCCACAGCTTACTCTGCACACTTTGCTTTTGAGGCCAGGTGTTTTTTCGAAGTTGTAGGTAGAGTGGGCAGGTTCGCAGAATGTGCTCAGGTGTTTGTGGTCCTTTCTGACAGGCACACTGTGGGGACTGTACAGTCTTTATTTTATGCATGTGGTAGTTGAGCCTGCAGTATCCTGTTCTTAGACGGAAAATAGTTGTATGTTGCTTTCTGTTGAGTCTGCTGATGGGGTCTTGTGGATGTTTACTGCTGGTTTGTTCTCTCCACCCTTGATGTGTGTTTTGATTTATGTAAATGACAATGAATGGGTGTGTTGTTTCTCCTTTGTTCCATTTTTTGAAAAGTATGTTCGCTAACTCATTTCCTGGTATGCTGCTGCGAGACGGGATCCATTGGAGAATTATTTGAGAGTCTGTTTAGCTGGCAGGTCAGTTCCCTCTCCATGTTGTTTCGTGGACCCCTCTGAGTGGCCATGAGGACAGACATGCAGTCACATAAGAAAACAATTTTGTTGTTTAGAATTTTTATTTTCACAAGCACTTTGGTTGCATCAATAATTGCTTGCTGCTCTGCTCTGAAGTTTGGTGAAAGTTTTCTCGAGGCTCATGACATTTCTAGGTTAGGTGTATAATTGTTCACAATAATTTGAATATTGTTCAAGACTATTATTTAGTTGCTTTATTTTAAAAAAAGTTTGCATACCTGTTTTAAGGACATCTTAGTCTTTCTTTTCATTTCTACTGATATCAGTTCTCATCTTTCTATTCTATAATGATTCATGCCAATCACACAGGCACCTTACCCTGCTACCAACAACCTGTGATAAAATGTAATATAAAACAACCAACATACCCTTGGATCATCAATGCCAGAGATGTGGGCCTCAGGTCTATCCAACACCAGGAAAGCAGCAAGGTTGGCTGTGTAGGAGGCTACAATGATCATAGCAAAGCCTGCCCACACCATACCCAGAACACGGGCACTGAAACTCCGAGGAGTGCCTGTAGTGATAACAACAAGTTCCTAACATGTAATGAATCAACAGAGGAAACAAAGTGTAAGACAGCATAATTGTTTGCTGCTGACTTCCCCCTGGGTATTCTTCTTCTTCTTGCTGGCAGTTGGCACACTTTGCTGTGGTTTACAGCTAGGCTGTTATATCTGTGCCTTCTGGCTCAAAATAACCAAATATTCTGTAGATCTAAATTCTAGAATTTCCCACCACAAAAATTACTGTTTTATAGTTATCTTAATTTTCTTCAACCCTTTACTATTTGATGGAACACAGTCAACTCATGTCAAGCATTTCCATCCTCTAGCATCTTCTGCAGTTCACTCATTGTCTTCCATATCTTTCTCAGATATAACTTCTTGAAGTTAAACCATAGTTTTACAGATATAATTTCTAAACAATTACCACAAGGTAGGTAGGTAAGTTGTACCCCACCAGGACATCACACATAAACATCTGGCGACACAAAGTGCTGGCATACGGATGAGGATCACCCGTGGAGAGGTCCTGGAAACCCCATTTAGTCATTAGGCCATATTTATGGCCCGGCTATATTTAGGGCCCCCGGCACAAGCCGAGGTGTGGAAATTTACCACAATTGAAATCACAATTTTATAGATAAAATTTCTAGAAATGACAATTACTATATGATCATATGATACAGTTTTCAGCAGTTACCTTCACCGATGCCACTGTTCAAGAGGACACCCCATGAGAACCACATGGCACTGGACAAGTTGAGAGCATCCTCTTCAGCATCATCACTCTTTGCCAGCTTAAAACGTCCAAAGGGAGAGAAACGGTCCAGGAGGTACAGGACAAGTGCCACCACATGCACAGACAGGCCGACTAGAATCCACAGTGTGTCTTGAAATGGTTGTAGAAAGGAGCCCAAACTGGAGTCTTTTTGGTTCTGATATAAACAACCGCACAGATTTGGATTTATTTTGGAGTTTTGTAAAAAAAAAATAGAAATGCTAAATGGTAGCTGATTGATGATTGCTCTGGAAGACCAACTTTCAATCCCTTTATTTCCTATTTTAGTGCCTGTAATGGAGGCTATGGTTCTTGGAAGAGGTGGCAGAGGTAAACTAGCATGATGGTGGATATGAAAGTTCATGAGGTGGAGGAGTTTACAGGGGACATGAAGCTTTTCTGCATGCCACGATCTTCTTCTTCTTTTTTTTTAACACTGTAAACTCTGGTGGAAAGTTCTGGTTGTTTATCCACTTCTGGACTTTGGTTTATTCCAGAACTTGAGTTTTACAGATCTGGCGTATTTATATGTAGACTGTTGGTTCCTTGCCTCTCTGGCAGGTGCACTCCTGACTTTAAAGGAAACTCCTCTAATTAGTTGACTGCTTGTAAGGGGGACTGTGGGTCTTTTCTCCCCCCCCCCCCTCTCCAAAATGGGGCCCCATATCTCCCATGGGGGAAAACCACAGAATCAGTAGCCCCTAGATGACAAAAAAGAAAACACAACAACTGAATGAACAAGTTGAATCTACCAGCTGGGCTATCCCATTGTTATAGTAACACTGCATGCCATGATGAAAGCGATATTCTGAAAGGGAGCTGTTATATAATGACAAAGGTTTTCAGAACAATTTTCAAGATAGCTTAACTGTTCTTTGTGAGTGGGGGAGGGGGGGAGGGGGAATGTGTAGGTGATTCATGACTACCTATGTTTACTGGCATGGCACATGATGATAACAGATTACCTTTTTGACAAGAATATTGAGACCTTGATATTTGAATGGTTTGGTGAAGTCAATGTCCTTGGCTCTCTCAGGGTTTATTGTCAGTGGAGCTACAATGAGATCAACCTCCTTACTCATCAGTTCTCCCATCATGCCATTCCAGTACTTTTTTTCTGATCCGTTATGCTGTGAAAAAAAAATTTAAATAAATAAACAGACAGTTCAGTTATAGATAACATATTCTGTGTCAGTATGTAGTTAGTTAATTCGTCATCATCATGTAGCAGGTCCCTTGCAGAACGTCGCTCCCATCACGGTCTACCCAAAAGAAACCTGGTCTCTTACCACCTCTCCCGCAGCATGCACTTTCATAATCAAGGAGTCACTTGTATCCTGTACCCCTTTTCATGTTGGTTGGCCCTTGCCCCTCCTTCCTGGTACCTTGCTGTCTGCTATCATTTTTTTTCAAAACCCAACATGACAGCTTCCTTGATGTTCAAATCTGTTAGAATGTCATTATTTCTTTACTTCTTTGTCCATGGAATTCTGATAGTCAATTAGTTATATAGTTAAACTAGTTGACAGATTATCACCACTACACATCAAACCATTGAGTCCATGACATGACAGGATCCCCTCTTCAGTATATCCTTCAGCCTGCATTGGCTGATGACACAGATTTTTACTTTTGTTGGTTTATTATTCTTCTCTAATTTCCTGCATAATGCTTTTGTCTAGCCTCACCCCTTTCAACCTGCTGTTTCTGCAGTCTGGTTATGGTTGCGAATTCTATCACCACTTGGACTCATGTACATTTTTGTACTTCTTATACAGCATTCAGTATGTAGGTAGCAAGCTTGTAAGATAGCTTCTGCAATTTCTCCCCCACTGGAGCACAGGCCTTTAACCAACCTACCACAAGTTGTCCTGTCGATTGCTTTCACATACAGCTCATCTAATGTTCTTTCCATATTTTTTTTTACTTTTTTTTTTTTTTTTAGGTCTGCCTTTACTTCTATGAACCTGTGGATTCCATTGTAAATTCATTCTAGTTATACTGTTTTCAGGTTTTTCTCAACGGGTGTCATATATAATGCTAGTGTCTTTCCTCTGTAAGAAAACTCCTGCACATGAATATACTTCACTCATTTGAGCACCATTGTTGCAGTGTGTGTTGAGTGAGAAATTCCGATTAGCCCAAACAAGGCACTCTGTGTCGATTGAATGTTCTGATTGTATATTTACTGCTCGGAACTAGTTTTTAATATTTGAATATTCAAAGGTTACTTTAATAGTTTTACTTATTTACAGTCTTAGTTTAAACGTAAATATGCAAAATTGTCGAAAACATTGTGTCATTTTCAGACAGTGAATTTCCTAACAGATATCAAGAAAGAAGGGTAGGGGTCAACCAGCATGAAGAAAGTTCCAAGATTTAAGTGACATTTTATGTAGGAAAGTGCACGAGGTGGGAGAACTGATGTGAGACCGAGTTTCTTTCAGGCAGGCTGTGATGAGAGTGATGTTCTGCAAAAAAGACTTGCTATATGATGCTGATACAAATAAATGATGAAACAGGCCTACCTTCTCAAATGTACCAAACATTCCATCTTTGCTGAGATGAATGGTAAAGTTGAACTGCACCTTTTCTGCAATTTTAGCCAGCATGTCCATGCAGTATCCCATACAGCAGTAATCTAAGGGCAATTGTAGATAAAATAGAAAGGGGATGGCAAGTTAATCTCAAGGTAAATGTAAGTTGATCTCAAGGTAAATTTAAGTTGATCCCAAGGTAAATGTAAGTAAGTTGATCTCAAGGTAAATGTAAGTAAGTTGATCTCAAGGTAAATGTAAGTTGATCTCAAGGTCAATGTAAGTTGATCTCAAGGTCAATGTAAGTAAGTTGATCTCAAGGTAAATGTAAGTTGATCTCAAGGTAAATGTAAGTTGATCTCAAGGTAAATGTAAGTTGATCTCAAGGTAAATGTAAGTTGATCTCAAGGTAAATGTAAGTAAGTTGATCTCAAGGTAAATGTAAGTTGATCTCAAGGTAAATGTAAGTTGATCTCAAGGTAAATGTAAGTTGATCTCAAGGTAAATGTAAGTTGATCTCAAGGTAAATGTAAGTTGATCTCAAGGTAAATGTAAGTAAGTTGATCGCAAGGTAAATGTAAGTAAGTTAATCTCAAGGTAAATGTAACTTGATCTCAAGGTAAATGTAAGTTGATCTCAAGGTAAATGTAAGTTGATCTCAAGGTAAATGTAAGTTGATCTCAAGGTAAATGTAAGTTGATCACAAGGTAAATGTAAGTTGATCTCAAGGTAAATGTAAGTTGATCTCAAGGTAAATGTAAGTTGATCTCAAGGTAAATGTAAGTTGATCTCAAGGTAAATTTAAGTTAATCTGAAGTTAATTGTAGGTTACTATAAAGAAATTTGTTGTTAAAATAGTAAAGGCAGCTGAGCAAGAGGCCGCCAACACAAACAATAGACAGACAGAATATCTATGACCAGCATCTATGTAGCACACATCTAGGCTCGCGCCACATACCTGCAAATCTGATGCTGAAAGGTAAAACAGGGACTAGAGAAGATAAAGCGATGATTGTAGAGTAATGAGACTGAATTTAGGTTAAGCAGAAGATGACTGTATCTGGTAATCTGGTAATCATAGTTTCAGCTTCATAGCAAACGGGTCACCACATAGTTGCTCCGCTCCTGTGCCAATGAAAAACACACGTAGCTCAGAAGCTGGGCGACAAAACTATATCCTTCCAGTCTACAAATGGAGCAAAAATGCAAAAGGCCACCGTCTGGCAGGAAAAAAAAAGGTGGCCGTGCCTAGCGTCCATTTTGACCTGAAGCATAGATGACTGTATATTTAGCAGAAGATAATTTACATTAGTCTGAAGGCAATAACAGCTTAAACAGAAAGTAACTGTAAGTTAATGTGAAGGTAATTGTGGATTGATTCAAATGTATCAAAACACAATACGTTTCTACAAGATAAACTTTTAGATAATAACAGATCAATATAAAGGTAATATAGGAATAATATATGGATAATTAATATGACTTAGGTATATCAAACAGCATTTAAAGGCTTCAAATTATTATTTAAAAGACTTTTATTATTGCACTAGACAGAAACAATCTCCATCATCTTAACGAGCATTAAAACCCGGCTCTTCTGAATGACAGCCCAGTGTTTTAACTGCTCAGCTGGCAAGTGACCATCTTTTGTAGAAGGGGCCATCGTCCTCTCATAGGCTGTGAGGCTAATCAGTACAATCTGCTGACCAAACTGGGCCTAACAGCCAACCAATAAAGCAAAATAGAAAGAAGAGTGTAAAAGATTTGCTGCGTGAAATACTTAGAAAGGAGTAGGAAAAACAAACATTTAACAAATACCTTGAGTTCCATTTTTACAGGGAAAAGCATGGACAGCAGGATGAATGGGACGGCATTGTCCATCTTTGGGAAGACGTGTGATTTCCACAAATGGTTTCTCCTTCAGTGTTACAATCTATAGAAAAAAAACGTCAGTGCTACAGTCTAAAGGAAGATTATAAAACACATCCCTAGCATACGTTATGCAAGAAACAATGAAAGGCATCTCAGAATGTGTCATAAAAGTGCATCAAACACTAAAATGCAAACTGATTAGCAATCAATTAATCACAATACTTCTTCTTCTTCTTTGTTCACCCCCTGTAAACTCCGGTGAAAAGTCCCGGTTGCACGTCCCTTTGGACTTTGGCTTTGTGCCAGGGCCTGAGTTTTGCATGTACATCCCTTTTACTGGCTTATTTGTGTGCAGCTGGTTGTTCCCTGCCGATCAGGCAGATGCATTCCGACTTCAAAGGAAGCTCCCAATTAGTCAACTCTTATAACATGCTTCTCTTGGGTAGGCAGTGACTCTATTCTTGTTTTTCCTTCACATTTTTTTTTAACTAAGTCACCCCAAGAAGGCCAAGTTTCCAATTTGTATGGGTTTTTGAAGACATCACATCTTTGGGCAGTAGCCAAAATGCCTAATAAATGTTTTTAGTTTTAATCCTCAGATTTGCAATGCAAATCCCAAAAAGCCTGTTCAACCCCTCAGCCATTTGGCCCAGTTAGACTGAGGCACCACAAAATGGTCACCAGTAACCTGTAGTCCAGTGAGAGTATATTTGATGCCATTTTGTTATAGTGCTATGCAAGTGCATAGTGTTTAGATGTGGTGGGTATGATTATATTTATACAAACTTTGTTTGTTAACAGTAGAAGTTGTTACCTTGCCTAAAATATTAGACAACAAAAGATTGAAAAAAAAAAAAATTTATAATAAATCAGTTGCATGAATAACATGTTAAGTTGTGCTGCGTTGAGTCAAGAATTGACATCACAGCACTCGGGGCATTCCCATGCATGATCTGTCCTTATCTTCAGCAGCCAGCGCAGAGTAATGAATAACATGTACAAATCTACAAAACTTGTTATGCTAAATACAGGTGAAATATTTTAATTTCCCTTCCTTGGCAGATTTACATAAAACTCTTTCCTCCCCCCAACCCCCTTAATTTTTTTAAAAAAATAAAACAATCCAATGCTAAAAATAAATTTAAAGTCATGAGTTGTAACATAAATGTGCAGCTCCCTGCTGTGAAACAGAACTGGAGAAAATTCTATCTCAGGCAGATTACTAGAAGTAGCAGGTACAGATAATTTAATGAAATACAAACAATTTTTGTCCCTAAAATCTGATTTGAACTTATCGAGCATAAATTTCCGGAGCCACATTAGGTCAAACCTGGTAAATTTAATTGTATTTTGAGCCTCTTCACGAAGCATATCATGTATTTGCTGAACTATTGTAAGTGTGAACCTCCTTGTTCATCTGTTGTTTATCATTCAATGAAGATTAAGGCTGTTGCTATTGCTCTAAGTAGGGGCTGGCTCTTCTATAACCATGGAGTATGTCTTTATATTAGGTGGCGTCCGTGGCTAAGGCGTTGCGAGTCCGACTCGTAAGCCAGCATACCGCGATCGAAACCCACTGCAGGCTGCGTGGATTTTTATCGTGGTATGGGACGTCGTGTGGCACAGTCGTGCCTTCACATCCCCCAAGAAATAGATGTGCCTAGTTCGGCCAAGGTGAATGGATACAGTTCGTAGCTCTTCAATCGTACTCAAGAACAAGGCCAGTGATGTAACAATTACACAGCGGTTTATTTATTAATAAACTTATCAAGTCAAACAGAATGAATCATTCAATAACAATATTATAAGAACACTTCATTATCTTATTACTGGCTATTCTTATGTCTCTCTATGAGTTCCTTAATCACTGTTCTAGCTAAACTCCAAGTTTAACATATACCTTCTAAACGAAGTACAGCTCTAGTTTTCCTAACCGGTCTCCCAAGCGGTCCAGTCCTAACTGTTCTCTCCAGCGGTCCCGTCCTAACTGTTCTCTCACTTCAGCCACTGGCTACTCACTTCCCCTCGCCTTCCCGCTCTTTCTGGTGTGCCTTCTCAATCACTCCCCTGTCACCTGTCTTTGGTGGTCACGTTTAGATGAACGTATCTCTTCAGCTGGTCACAGTGCATCTGGTTGCTCACGGGTACTCGTCGAATGTTTCATCCTTCACTGTCAGATGTCATGGTTATACCATGATAACCGTCCTCAAATCAAATCTGGTCACCGTGCAGATGTTCTGTATAGCTGGCCAGGCCAGCTTTCTAATCACTGTTTTCTGTCATGCTAACGAGTGAGGGATAGGCGTGCTTTTATGCTGTTCTGAAATGTATGCTTTATTCATTTAACCCCTTTCTGCCTATATTTCATTACAGTCGCAGGTCAACCCAGCCTAAAATGGGTACCAGGATGGGCTGTCCTGGGAAAGTAAAAACAGCCGGCGTAATGCTGACCACATTACCCACAGAGTGCTGATGGTCTGTAAAAATATGGGACGCTCTGCCCATATGCCCGATGCGCCGAAAGGCGTGAAAATGGATCTTTACTTTACTTTACTTATGTCTTTATATTGCTACTGGGATGTGTGTAGGTTCCGCTGATATATTTACAGAAGCCTGAAATTTATTTCTAAACTTGTTCTTCTTCTTTTCTCTACTCCTGGAATGCATAGCAGCGTCAGAGCAGGAAGAGATACCTAAAATGAGCCGTTTTATTTGCTTTGTAAATGGGATTTTTTAATATCTCCGATATTTCTGCAGTCCTTATCTGTGTGGTCGACCTCTGGCTTTGTTAATGCGGTATTTGTATAACAATGCTCATTTCATAAAAGTCAGCTTGTGTGATCTCTTCATTCTTCTACGAGCTCTAAATTGAACATGTTAATAGAGCATAACTGGAAAGATATTAATAACTTTACCCTCAGGTCACGAGAGATTTTCTCTCCCTTAGGTTTCACAAACACATTCCCTGGCCAGGTTAAATTTGTGACCATCATTCTCAGTCCAAGAACCTGAGTCAGAAACACGAAGAATCACATTTTGAAAATTAAATAGTCCTAACATATAAATTAAAATTTAAAAAAAAAATGAAACGCACTGTTTAAAACTGTCACAGTTTTGATTCACCTATAAATAATGGAAATCTAACTGCAGAACTTGGATAAGCAGATGACGTTTTTTTCTCTTAAAAGTGCAGAGGTATTGAGCAATCAATACTGTCCAGAAAAAGAAAGAGCTGAGATCAAAATCTGTTTCCTTATACAAAGTAGGCAAATATAATGACCACAGACAAAAATTACACATCGATAATTTTTAAATTCTTCTTCTTGATTTTTTTTTTTCATGTGTGTTCACCGACTGAAAACACTGGCGTGAAGTTCTGGTTGTTATTCCACTTCTGGACTTTAATCTTGTTACAGAACTTTAGTTGTGCATGCACATCCATTGAACAGATCTGGCTTCTTTATATACAGACCCTTGGTTCCTCACCTCGTAGACAGCTGCACTCTGACTTTAACAAAAACATCTATAATTAGACAGTTTTTTATGACACGCTCTTTCGGGGAAATATGAGCCATTAGATATTAAAATGTGAGAGTGAATAGTGTCAACAGAATTACATGTGAGAAAAAGCAATGAGCTCTGGAGAAAGAAAAAATGTCATTCCGTGTGAATCATTCAGATGGAAAGGGGTGTGTCTGAAGTATGCAAGGAATCGCTAGGATGTCTGTGTGAAACCGAGTGATCAACATCGTGAGATAGAACCTGGCAACAAATGGCAGACAAGATGGAAGAACAAGAGCTGATTGTTCGAGTGAAAGACAAACGCGACTGTCAGCAGATAGCCAGTGTGAGTAAATGCAGTCTACATGCTAAAGCAATGTAGTGTGCTCTATCTATATGATTGACACGGTGAGGCTAGAAAGGTAATTCAGCTTGAGATTAATTTCCTAGACAGCTTAATGACAGAGGACAGGGATGGCGTCACTTGATAAAACAGCAGTAAATACTGATTTGCTTAACTATGTTGCCGCCTAGTGTGTCGTCACTGTTTATCTAACCCACGAGGACAGTTAAAGTCCCAGTTCACTGCAATGTTCTGATCTAGTTGAAAGGAGGAACCTTACAACGATGGCCCTTTTACCTCCAGAACATTGCCCATTATTCACATTGAGGCTGACTTTCGTTTTCAAAATGGCGGATAGCAGCTGTGTTTATTTTCACTGGCTGTCAATTCTTTCTGATTATTCTGTTTCATAATCATGAACTGCTATTTTGTGCGCATTTCCAACGCAGGATACTAAGTATTTTTCATGGGAGCAGCGTGTATTGTGGTTGTGCTATGTCGGGGCGGGATAATAACCGATAGTTTTGGCAGCCTCGCCCACGCTGCCTTCGCAATGTTTCGATCACGGCGGTCCACTTGGGAAGACAGAATCTCATCAACAGGGGACTGCAACTGTCTAGAGAGCAAACTCGATAAAAGCTGTCCCCAGAAACGAAATGTGTCAACTATATATTTGGTGGGGAGGAATCGACACATACGGTTAACTCAATGGCCATGGCCACATTAAGGCTAGGATAAATAAGGCAAACAGGTCAATATAAAAAGACAACAAAGACACATCCAACTCAATGGGGATTTTCAAATGTGATCAACAGGCAAGTAGCAAGCCACTGTTCTAGACAAGTGGACCAAGCTAATAAACAATAGACCACAGACTAACACAAACCTTGTCCTTATCTCCAAACAGTCCAACAGACATGGCCCTTTGATTGCTGTTGATATTAATGATTTCATACATCGGGTTCAGCCGGTCTCCCTCCTGGCTGAAGCTCACTTGCCCTGTCTCTCCATTCAACTTGGTTTCTATCAAAGCTCTGTGGACAGCAGTAAGTATGTGGCTTGTTATACAAACAATGCAGGCAGGATGTATTCAAAATCAAGGTCAATCGTGTGGATTCAGGGGCCCCACTATGGGGGTTGATTGGGGGCAAACATGTCACAAAATTACACTAAGGGGTTTTTCCTTCGAAGTCGGCAGAAGTAGAGGAACCACCAGAACTTTCTGCTGGAATTTACAGCCAGTGAAATCTGGGAAGAAGAAGAAGATTAAATCAAGCCAGTTATTCTCTCTCTCTCTCTCTCTCTCTCTCTCTCTCTCTCTCTCTCTCTCGCACACACACACAAGGAAATTTATAAACATAAGATTACAGATTGACATTTTTCTGTGCAGCTACTGTGACAAACAAAGATGGTAATTAACTCTTTCAGTCGCAGGTGGTTCCTACTGTAACTCATTCTCCTGAAAAAAATAAAAAGCACCAGAATTCACCACAAAGTGTCGCATTGCTAAAGTGATGCTGCAAAAAAAATGAAGAAACAAAAAAGCTGCCGGTGCTATGTACCATTATGTATCCCGAGAAGAAAGGTGTGCTTCAAAAAAGTAAGCGATGTGTCTAAAGTTATTCATATAAAAACCCCACCAAATAGAAGATGTTAAAGGAACAATTACAACAGAGTGAGTTAAGCAAATTGATGAAAAAAATAGGTGTTCATACACGTGGATCATGTTAAGAATTGCCAATAAATGCACATGAGCTGCTTGGTATCCAAGGAGTGAAATAACGGGTATTACCAATTAATTATTTTATTTGGGAAGCACAATATGTATTATCCTGTTTTTGTTGCGCTCACCAGTTGTATGTAAACTACAGCAGAAAATTCTGGCTGTTTGTCCACCTCTAGACTTGGTCTTATTCCTATTGTTTTTGTATTGAATGTTGAATTAAGAATTGACATCACAGCACTCCAGGCACTCCCTTAAGTGCTCAGTCCCCAATCTTCAGCAGCAAGCAAAGAGTTCCAATTCTGATGGTATCAGTAACCATCTGATTGTACACTCGTCTCATCCTTCCCTGAGTTGAGCGCCGGCCAGATGCCCTGGTAACACCTCGCAGCGCCATTCTCCTCAGACCGTAATGATCTATCCGCGTCTCCTCACTATGTCACCCGTTCCCAAAGGTCCCTCACAATATCTAACTTGTCATACATCAATTCACCACCAAGTGATGCAGAGCCTGCCAGTCTATCTGCCTGCTCATTTCTCAACACATAGGTATGATCTGGAAAAAATAACCAAAGAATCCTAACTACCTAGGACCTCTGAAGTGATTGTGTAAAGCTATTTTTGTTTTTGCGTGCACACCCGTGACACAGATCTGGCTTATTTGTATGCAGACTGCTGGTTCCTCACCTCTCAGCTGATGCATTTCAACTTTGAAGGACAAATCCCAAATTACTCGCTTTTTATGACATGCTTGTTGGGGATAGGGGGCCAGTAGGTCTATTCTTGTTCCTAGAGAACAGGGCCTCTGGAACCCATACAGTGAGTAAAATATGTATTATAATTAATAAAATTTAGATCACAATAATGCTGCTATATTGTGAAGACAAAGATAAGTAATGATATGTAGAACCTGGCATGCTATAAGACAAAGGCAAGTGTGATAGTGAATAAAACCTAGCTTACTACTAGAAAATAATATAATAATATAAGGCATACAAATAAAATATAGTTTGCTGTAAAACAAAGATCAGTAAACATGATGTATAAAATCTGACATACTTCAAGATGTAGATAAGTATTAATCATGTATCAAGTCGCGCATGATTTAAGACAAAAATAAGTAATAATGTTGTACAAAACTTTGTAACTTATAAGATAAAAATTATATAATATAATAGACAGAGATAAGTAATGATGGTATATAAATCTTGGTATGCTATGAGTAAAAGATAAGTAAAGATGTATAAAACCTTTAAGTTAAAGATTGTTATAAGATAAAGATAAGTCTTCTTCTTCTTCTTCTTCTTCACGTTCACCAGCTGTACACTCTGGCGCAAAGTTATGGTTGTTCGTCCACTTCTGGACTGCAGTCCTGCTCCAGAACCTGAGTGTTGCGTGTGCATCAGTTTTACAGATCTGATTCAATTGAATGTAGACTGCTGGTTCCTTGCCTCTCAGGCAGATGCACTCCGTCTTCAAAGGAAGCTCCCCAGTTAGTCGACTTTTACAACATGCTTTTGGGGAGGCAGTGGGTCTATTCTTGTTTTTCCCACAATAGGGCCCCGGAACCCACACGGGGGATAAAGATAAGTAATAATGATGCAGAAAACCTAACACAAGACAACGATAAGTAATGATATATGAAGCATGACAAGTTTTATGATAAGGATACATGCTCTCTCTCTCTCTCCTCCCCCCTCTCTCTCTCTTTCTCTATCTCTCTATTTTTCTCTCTCTCATATGCACACAAGTTACTTAATCTTTAAAGTCAAAATACAAAATACTGATAAGAAATGTGCTAATTACTCGTAGACTTTGTCCCCATGATACCAACTGTCTGTATCCTTGCATTCAGTTGGGGGATTTGAGATTGACTCTTTAGCCAGCAGCCTTGTGAATGCCTGACCTATGACTTCTACAGCATCTTTGATATGGTTGACTTCATTGGTGCCATTCACCAGATGTACTCCAAGAAACCCTTGAAACAAGTGGATAAAGTCAAACGTTTGTCACCAAATCAGCTGTACACAGAGCAGCAATTTGGAGAATAACTAAAATAATTCCAAATAAACTATAAACATTTACTGGGGCCATGTTAGCGCCATCGATAGGAGACTCACTTTAAAATCCAGCTGCGACTCGCTGCAGCCCACGGCTGGTGTTCGAAACCGGACAGTTCCTGGGGTTCACCCAGCCTCTAGGAAATGGGTATCAGAGTTAACACTCTGGGGGTAAATAGAGGAACGTCGCTGTAGCTACTGAGTTTCGTGCAGACGGCAACACAGGCAGACAGTTTCTTATCATCTGTCGGTACTGGTGGCAGAGTACTTAAGGTTTATAACTGTGTGCAATGTCGCTGGTTCACATCTCCCGACTTTAGTTTACAAACTTTTATAGAGCAAACCTGATAAGAACTCACCAGGGACTAAGAAACAGTTCTTCTTATAAGAAATTAATCTTAAGAGTTCAAGCATATGGCAATTTCCAGGGATAAAAAATTGTTCTTCACAAAAAAAATCACATCCCATATTGCCTTAAGTGGTCTGCACTGTATCAGAAATTGGGAGATAATTATATGAGTTGCACGACATTGCAAACAAACCCAGCACTTCTTGGTCGTTCAAGGCTTTTCTAGACAATTTAATATTGAGATGTGTATCACTTGGTCATCTCTTGTTGAACAGTTAAGTTAGTGCTCCCTATCACTGTTGATGGGGAGCCAAAAACATAAGACATCCGAGTAATCAACACAAAATGGGTGTCATTAATCGTTTTACTCTTGCAAAGCTACTGACGAGGAGATCAGAGCACCTATGGATCTGTACAGAGTGCTCTCATGATAGTCCTCACTAATTACCAATCACTATTTTAGTCATTAAAAGTCGCTTGCAGCCAAATCACCTGCAGCTGAACTAAACCGTGCATTCTGGAATTACAAACCGCCTTTGTAACCCCTAATCCACAGATGTTGACAGAGAATGATTATATAAAATTATGAACTAACTATAAACAAATATTAACTGCCTGAGGACAATGTTAAACATAAAATGGGATGACTTCAATGTCGTGAAATGATAGCCATTACGCATCGGTCTGTAAGGCTGATAACCTGTCTTACCTGTAATCTGCACAAAATTCAAACTTGGACTCGCCCAGAAATATATAGTCCCTTATATCTATATATATAGGCCTGTATTGGACAACATTATTATGTCTGCCTTTTCTGGTTACTTTAACTAAACTCCACTTTTAAATGTATATCTCTTGAAGATATAGTAAGGGAGTTATTTGAGGTTTCTTGGAAACCGATTTACTCCTTGCTCAAGTATACAAGGAACTTCTTTCGTACCAACGCCTGAAGTGTCTAAGTGACGCTATTCTCCTTGCCAGCTTCTCAAGCGTCCAGATGTGTTAATCTGTGCCTGTATAACTTTCACTTTTCAAGGCAATCTGGAAATGTCTCAGTTTTTACATATGCTTGGGATGTATATTTTCTGAAGAGCTGGCAGAAGATTCACAGTCCAACCAACATCCACCAACCATCAAACCACCAGAAACAAACTGTTACCCACCAGCTAACACCTGTGAATGTTCCTGACATCTCCAACATGGGGGAGATGGTACCTCAAACAGCCTACCAGTGCTAGAGCTTAGGTTTGGCTCACAAACAATTTGTGTTCTACTTGGTGATAGAGACTTACTAAGTACCAGTGCAGTATTGTGCCCTCTCTAGTGAGGTACTCTTTGACTATTTGATCTAGTGGAGCAGAATTTCCAGAATCAAAGACAGTCGAATCATCCGGAGCTGAAGGAGGCATCATAGACAGAAAAGATATAAGATAAGTCTGATACTTCGCATGATGTTGTTTTCCTCACAGCTCCTTGTGTCCAGTGATGAGAAGATGTCATCTCCAAGACCTTCTGTCTGTGTAGTATCTTTGTGATTTGGACATGATATCCTGAGATCTGGCATTTGTCTCACTTTTATATATCTAATTTATATTGATTACATACATTCATTTTCATGGCTGACTTAGGTGTCTCTATTTCACCTTTTTAAGTGTTTAGCAGGTGTGTATGTATGTGTATCTTCATTATATGTGTTAACATGGTTATGATAATGAACTATCATAACCTGGGGGCTTTCTTTAGTAAGTAGTGGGGGTGTCCAGCCAAGTGTGCCTAGAAATATGGTATATATATACTGATATATTTTGTAGTGCCAATACTTGAGTTGCCCTACTCCAGAGATAAGTTGAGCGTATATTGGCCACGGGGAATCCCTTAGACCAATACGAGCCAAACGACTCAACATAATTATCTCTGAGTGCTGTTGGTTCTGAAGGAGGAATCCTTACATTAGGCACGCGACAGGAGTGATATGTGACATTCAAGAGAAGCAAAGAAATAAGAGAAATGTATGGGTAACCACTGGTACCAACAGTTTTAAAACAAAAAAGATGGCTGTATATTGGATATATCCTGTGAAGAAACGAGCACAGAATCACTAAACAGACACTAAAATGAGAAATAAAATGACTGAGGAAGCTAAGATGTCCAAAAGAAACCCTAAAACAAACGTTTAGGAAAAAGCCAAAGGTGCTAGACTGGGTTCCATCTTTGATATCAAAGGGATTGCAGAGGACAGAACGAAATGCAGGAATAGACTACTAGCCTTAACCCAACCAGGCCTGAGGCCCTGAATCTAACTGCCTCCTATACCTGAGATCCTGGGCATTAACGCGAAAAAAACCAACATGACATACAAAAATATTAGTTACATGCAAACAAGTGGCTAGAATAAGATGAAACTTGGAAACACTGTAGAAAATAGGTTAACCTTTTATCTAGCGCAAATATTCCATCTTTGTGTGCTAAACCACCCAGCAGGATCAACCTTGTTTCACAAAGTGAACAATAGATGTTGCTGTTTGAGGGACACACGTTTGAGGGACACACCCCCTTTTCCTTCTTTCGATCTATTTCTAGATTTATAATTTTCAAGGTTCTCCTCATCATTCCATCTCTCACTGACTGTGTCACTTCAACTGTGAACGTATTCTTCATGAAATTATGACTCCGCAGAGTCTGAATCAACCGCGGGCCAGCGGTCTGGTAGAGTTAAGTAACACATACTAGCACAACAGAAAACTGGTTATGATGATAAACATATATTATAATAAATATTGAACTATATTATTATAAATATTATAAATGATTAAAACAATTAATAATAAACTACAAACAATGACTAACAGGTGTCTGATCAGATATTAGGTAAACAATAGAGGGAACTGAATGGTATGACAGAATCACTAATTCAGAAGTTTGGGAAGAATTAAACAAATTCCTGTAAATCGCTAGGTGAAGAAAGATGCTGATGCTGGATAAGCCATGCAGTGATGAAAGCTAATAGCGCAGTCGATAGGAGACTCACTTTCAACTCCAGCTGCAACTCGCTGCAGCCCACAGCCGGTGTTCAAAACCGGGTGATTCCCGAGGTTCACCCAGCCTCTAGGTAATGGGTAACAGAGTAACACTCTGGGGTAAATGGAGGAACGTTGCTGTAGCTACGGAGGTACATGTGGATGGCAACACAAGCGGACAGTTTCTTATCAGCTGTCCGTACTGGTGGCAGAGCACTTATGGTTTATAACCGTGTGCAATGACGCTGGTTCACATCTCCCGACTCTACCTTTACCTAATGTAACAAGAATGTCCCTTCTTCCTGTGCTACCAGAGCCATGAAGGTAAGCAAAGATTAGTAACAGTGCATCCTAACAAGGATGTCATAAGTGACTAAGGCTAGGTTAGTCTTGAATTTTCCCATGTGGGTTCCGGGGCCCTGTTATATGGAAAACAGGAATAGACCAACTGCCTACCCAAAAGCATGTTGTAAGAGTCGACTAATAGGAAGCTTCCTTCAAAGTCTGAGTGCATCTGCCTGAGAGGCAAGGAACCAGCAGTCTGCATACAAATGAGTCAGATATGTAAAATGGATGCACACGCAACACTCAGGTTCTGGAACAGGACTGCAGTCCAGAAGTGGATGAACAACCATAACTTTCCACCAGAGTTTACAGCTGGTGAACGCAAAGAAGAAGAAGAAGTAGTCTTGGATTTGCTACCCTATTCTGTAAAAAGCTTCAGTCACAAAAATTGGTTGATGGCCCTGTACACTGAGGATACAGCACAGAAGAAGAATCTCCACACATTGAAACTAATAGGGTCAAAGATGTGAAAGCAGGCAAAAATGCAGAAAAGTTAAAGACAGCTGAATGAGATCTGTAGCACACGGAGTCAGCTGCAGGCAATGGCAAAGTATAGGATATGAGTATTTAGGGACTATAGAATATTTGTATTTAGTATTTAAAGAAGTTGATGCAGAACCAACCCCAGCATTTTTTTTTGGCTGTTGTGGTTTTTCTAGGCAAATTTACATCTAGTAGTTTGCCATTGCTTTCTGGACGGGCGGTTTCTCGATACCACAGTCGAAACCAATGCACACCGGCATTTTGAAGCTCATTCGCAATGCCTAAGCCACAGACGCTGACTATGTCTACTACAACAGAATAGTTACATGTGTAGCCAATATGGATCTACTATAACAGAATGTTATACGTGTAGCCAATTTGACGGCAGGGTGCTTCATGTTCATTTGGACAATAGTATGATTATTGTACCTTTCAGAATGCAATGGTAAGCTATTAGAGCATGAGTTTCCAACCCTGGGGTCACGACCCCATTTGGAGGTCACAAAGAATATTTTGTGGGGTTGTCAGGCAGTGGTGTGCTATAAAAAATAATAATAAAATAAAAACTAGTCATCGTGTCCTACACAGAGACTTTTATGTCCTTCGCTTCTTACTAACTCTGAGAGTAGATTTTTCAATGCCTCTTTAATTTAAAACCAAAACAAGAACAGAAAAAAGTTGACATTAATGAAAACTCAGTAAGTCTGAAATTTGTTGATGAGTTACAATTTCAGTCATTACATTAAACATAGCACAAGTAACAGTATTGTGAATTATATTATACTTAAAATATACTTTCTATGTATTTTTGTTTACGCTATTAAAAAAGCTTATTTTTTAATGAATGAAGTTGCAGGTCAATCTGCCTCCATAAAATGGGGTCACGACTCGAAAAAAAAAAAAAAAAAGAAGTTAGGAACTGCTGTTCAAGAGTGTGAAATTACCTGTAACAAACACAACAGCCAACAAATGTTAAGACTAGTTTGTGACATCCTATAAAAGACATGTAGCCAACTTGTTCAACTCTACCCAGCTAGAAGTGAAGGAATACAGCAGGATGTAAAACACACAGATAACTTACGAAGCAGTCAGCAGAATGACTCTGGATGTGTGTTTCAGAATAGGCTCTAGTTCGGCTGTATAGTTCTTCTCGCCCGGAGCATACTTGACGGATGGCTCAATCTGTAACAAGAAAACGTTTTAAACAAGCTAGTCCATTCGTAGATACTGCAGCCATTGGGGGAAGTGTTAAGCCTTCATCTTGGTAAATATTGAACATCACAGAATTCTGGATAAGCCCAGATGAGCTTTGTCTCCCGTCTTAACAGCCAGGCAAGAGTCTCTATACTGATGGCACCCGTTGTCAACTGGTTAACTACTCATCTTGCCTTTTTCCTGAGTCTCAAGTGGCACCAAGTGCTTGCAGACACTCCCAGCTGCACCATTCTCTCCTGGTACAGGTATTCAATATCTTCCCGTTTACTTATTATAAGACTTCACATATTTTAGGCTATGATAAAATCTTCTTTACGTTCACCGGTTGTTAACTCCGGCAGAAATTTATGGTTGGTTGTCCACTTGTGGACTTTAGTCTTGTCCCAGAACTTGAGTTTTGTGTGCACATCCGTTTTATATACCTGGCTTATTTGTGTGCAAATTGTTGGTTTCTCACCTTGAAGGTAGATTGCACTTTGACTTCAAAGAAAACTCCCCCAATTGTCACCTTGTATGACATGCTCATTAGGTGACAACTAGTCTGTTCTTTTCCTCTCCCCTTCTCCACAAAATAGGATCCCGGAACCCACACAGGGAGGCCATGATATAATGAGGTGGAGTGATTAGTTCCCTTCTTTGCCACATTTTCTTCCAAGATCATTGTGCAAATTATCCAATACACATGTCATGAGGCTGGGTCAACCACAGATAAAACTAAGAACACCACAATTTCTGCGGCACATCAATACCCGCATAGGGCTGCAGGTTACACCTGGCTGGTGTAACTGTTATGGGTGGCAATAATTTGTTGAACAGGGTATCTGTGATCTACCTTGCTAGTCTGCCATCCAGACTGAGATCTTTAATCTCAGGATAGTATAGTAAACCTCTAGATAAGCAGCCCAGAGGGAATAAACTGATTGATCAAACCATTTCTGGTAAGCAAGAATGCAATCCCTATGCTGCCAAAAACTGTACACATTAAAAAATGATCTACCTACACTGTAACAAAATTTATTGACCTATATTTCCTGTTTAGTTTTGAGGATCCTCCTTCTCCCCATTCGAGGGGGAAAAAAGATGGGGGGGGGGGGGGCGATAGGGATTAATGAAACAGACTCACTACCTTTTCACAAGAAAGTTGTGAAAGGCAACTGATCAAGGCTTGTTTAAATTGGATGTTTTGGGCCAACATTCCAGTCACCATTTTAAGGTAAATGTATATGAAGCAGCAGATCTCTCAATATTTTAAAAGTATTCTAGCTATATTTAAAAAAAAAATATCTACATTGTAAAGCTTATCTATTTATATTTAAAATAAACAAAAACTGTTAACTGAGTCAGCCCTGGAAGCCACTCAAGGTGTGCTTGCTGGTCAAATAGAATCCCAGTTATATCCCCAGCTGTGGCAGCATTTTGTCTCCCCAGTGTGGTCACAGGCTTATGGCTGTGTCTTCTTCTCCCACCCTTTATCCCTAGATGTAGCATAGGTACTCAATCGATTCATGCTAAGAACAGCTGTTGCACACAGCTCCTCCAATATCTCTCCTATCTTTGTCATTTCACCGACTAATTATCTTCTCCGTAGGTTTTTCAAAAATCTGCCATTATTCCTTTGTCCCTGTGAGTTTCAGTTTTTGATATTCTAGTTATATGGTTATGAGGTTTTCAGTAGGTATCCTATCCAACACCAGCATCTTTTCCTCACCTCTTGATCCACAGGAATTAGCTTAGTTCTTTCCCATAGCTCTAATTATCTGTAAAAGCTCCTCATTAGTATCATGGCTGTATCTGCCATGTGATTATTTTAAACTATGATAGATAAATTTGCAGTATCTTGTCTCGGAAACTGAAACACTTTGGCCTTATCAGATACCAAATATTGCAAAGAACAGTCACAAAGAGCTTGGTACTAGGTAAGAGGGGCAGGGATCGACCAGGGTAAAGATGGTCACATAATGACTAGCAAAGTCAGTAGCATACGCATCAAATGCATAAGGCAGCCATCAGAAGTGCCAACACAAACAGTAATCTCATGGAAGCAGCAGTTACCACAAATTAATAGCTGCACACGTAATTAATTAATCACATAAGGCACCAACAGTTCTCTGGCAACAGGCCACTCGCCATTTTCTGAATCTGCACTTTAAAACACAAACCGCATTAAGAGCAATCAAAAAGCATTCCATAAAACATTCGTGGCTCACAGTGTTGCACCATGCAGTTAGCCCAGTAGCTGGCCAACGGAACTATATCCTTTCAGTCCAATTATGAGGAAAATGCAATGGTTTATAGTCAAAAGTATAAACATTTGTCATGAGAAAAACCAGTAAGACTGCCTGTTTGCTATAGTGAATCAAAAGTTCAACAGGATATAAGAGACACCTTGGGCAGGAATGTGCATGGAGTGGGAGAGCTGGCGAGGGACACAATTTCTTTCAGGTGTGCTGTCGTGGGAGCAGTGTTCTGTAAAGGACCTGCTGCTGCTTCTTAAAGTCTATGCAGTATGTCGTTGGTAGTCATGTCTATCCTCAACCTTCTGTCTTGTGTACTTTCAATCAAATCTGACAAAGATGATCCTTCATGTAACATGATTGTTAGAGCTAATGTTCCAAGTCTCATGATAGATGATGGTAGAAACCTCAACAGAGAGAGCAAACTAAAGTATCTGGGAATTACATTTGACAGGAGCCTGTCCTTTAAGGACCATGTGAAGAATGATGTGACAAGATGCCAAAAAGGACTCAGTGCACTTAATACTATGGCTGCAAGTGACATAGAACAGAGAATACTTTTCACACTATATCAGCACCTGATCCTGTCAGTGGTTGATTATGGCATGGGACTGCTTACCATCTCAAAGAATCAGATGGACAAGCTAGAATGCAGCTATGTGGGTCATTCTGGGTTGCACCAGAGACACCCGAGTGGTGTGTATTCAATACATCCTTGGTTTGCAGACGGTTGCAGATAAGACACAATGTGCTGCAGACGAAGTAATATCTCAAGGTAGCTGCAGACACAGATCACCCTTTGCACAAAGCTCTGGGTGCAGTTAAGGGTCAGCAGCTGATAAGAGGGAAGTCATGGATGGCTCAGGCAGAAGAAACAGACAGACAGGTTTGCATCCTTGAGAACATTAGGCGAGGAGAGAAGTGGGTCAAAGTGCCACCCGAATAATCAGACTTGTGTAAGGTCATAATCACATTGAGCCGGGAATGCAGAGACTGGCCAGCAGGTGCCACGGAGGTGGGAATTCATCAAATTAATTCAAGATAATGCTCGCTAAGAGGATTTTATTATTTACACAGATGATTCAGTGTTAAGAGGCAAAAAAAAGCGCTTGGGGTTTCTTAGCAAAAGTTAATGGTCGACGTTTGGTGCAGGAGAGCCTAGCATATGATACCACAACATCCAGCTTAAGAATGGAGGTGGAGGTGGTCCCTGCAGCTTTCTGCTGGTTATAGAACACGACACACACACATAGTAATTGTAACTGACTCGTAAAGCATGCTGAGGAAGGTCAGGACAGGCATGCTTCACTGCAGAGGAAAGAGGTGAGGAGTATTGTCTGGATTTTTTCTCTGGGCAATGCTGGTGTGTTAGGAAATGAACAGGGGGACAGACTGACTGGGTCTGCACAAACTGGTGGAATACTGATGCATGATAGGGCAGACGTGGTTAGTGTCTTGAGGGAGATTGTGTGCAGTTTGGAGAAGCAGATGGATCACCACAGTCTGGTGAGATTGATACAGCGTAGAGTGACGAGAGGTTCTGGTGGATTCTCAAGGCTCAGAGGAAAGGCAAGACGGACGTTTAATCAGAATGCTACTGGCACCATTAGTATTGGAACTCTGCGCTGGCTGCTGAAGATGGGGACAGAGCGCTTATAGGAATGCCCCAAGTGCTGTAATGTCAGTTCTTGAATCAAATCAAATCAAATCAAATCAATGCTCCATGCCATGGTGTCAAATTGTCCAGGATATGTCGTCTCTGTCTCCCTCTGCCTCTCCTCCCCTCCAACTGTCCCACTGTCACGATGTACTCTAGTTTTCTCCTTCTCATCACATGACCAAATAATGTAGATTGTCTCTTTCTGATGTGGGCAATCTATTCTCTTCCTGAGTCAGCTTCTTTCAAGACGACTTCATTATTCCTTTTTTTTTGTCCAGGATATTCTATTCATTCGTCTATAAAACCACATCTCCGCAGCCTCCAAACAGGTGTTCACTAATTTACTAACTGTCCACGATTCACTTCCTTACATCAATATAGGGTTTATATAGATTTTAAGAATTCTCTTTCTCAACTCAATTGACAAAGAAAGATTGCCTAAAATATTCTTTATTTCGTAAAATGCTGCCTTTGCTTGAGCTATTTGATATCTGACTCCCTAATACATCTTCCATCTGATCTTATCAGCGTACCCAAGTTCTTTAATACATCTTCTATCTGATCTTATCAGCGTACACAAGTACTTAAACATTTCAACTTGCTTGAGGTTTGTCCCATTCACTTTGATATTGCATTTTGGAGGGTCAGTTTTCTTTGTAATTACCATGACTCCTGTTTTCATGATATTCAAACTAAGACCCTTGTTTTCACTTTTCGTTACAATTATATTCATCATTTTTTGCAGATGTGTTTCATTTTTAGCGATCAAAACTATATTGTCAGCATATCACATACTGTTAACAATATGCTCACTAACCAACATTCCTGGCATACCAAGTATGGATCTAAATAATATTTCGCTGTACAAACTAAACAAATTGAGTGATAGTTACATATACACGTCTAACGTCTTGTTTAATGTTTTGAAAAATTCCAACTTGGTTGTCAATCCTTTTGGCTGCTTCTTTTTGCAAGTACATGTTTTTAAAAAAAATTGTTCTCAGATCTTTAGCATCAATGTTTGTTTCCAGAATTCTTAAAATTTCTTCATGTTTCACTTTATCAAATGCTTTAGTGTAATCAATAAAGCACAAATACAGATCTCTATTCGTGTCAATTATTATTTCTGAAAGTGTTCTCAGGATGAATCTTGCGTTGTTTGTGCCTTTACTCCAACAAAACCACACTGCTCTTCTCCAATTTCTGGTTTAATTTTGAATCTTATTCTTCTCATGACAATTTTCATTAATATTTTAGTTACATGACTCATTAAACTAATCATTCGATGTTCTCCACATTCCACTTTACCAGGTGTTTTTTGGTAAAGGTATGTAAATAGATTTCAAAAGATCATCAGGTATGTGTCCACTGTTATAAATATCATCTGCATTTAGCATGAAATCAGTCTGGTCACATCCTTATGACTGTATCTACCAAGTGGCTATTTTTACCTAATATATATAAGTTGGGGACAGAAGGCAGAAGAAGATTTACATCTGCCTTCAGCACAAAATCAATCTCAACTCACTCTGATGCCATTCTCATCAGCCAGATTCTGGAAACGGCTAAGAATAGATCTTCCTTCCTCGTCAGCGCTGTAGAGAAATATGACTTTGTGCCAAGACAGGTCCACCAGCAGTCGGGTCCAAACATCCGCCTGGTGTGAGTATGGTGGCACCGTACGCAGGAACATTTTATGTACATTCTGAAAGATAAAATTAAACATGCCACAAATAAATTTAATTCCAACGTACGCCGATCGAAACCCACTGCTGGCTGCAAAGATTTTTATCATGGCATTGGGCGGCACAGGTCGACCCAGCCTAAAATGGGTGCCAGGATGGCTGTCCTGGGGAAGTAGAGACGGCCGGCATAATGCTGACCACATTACCCACCTAGAGCCGATGGTCTGAAAAAATATGGGCGCTCTTCCCATATACCCGATGCGCCTGAAGGCGTAAAAAAAATGGATCTTTTACTTTATTTACAAATAAATTAGGAGCTCTGGATTATTATATGTCTTTATACTCGAGATCATGCACCTTTTCCATAACAACTTATGGATGTGAGTCATGGACACTTTTACTTAATCTTTGAAGGAAACAAATTGGAACTTTTTGAACTGAAATGATACAGAAAAGAATTCTTAGAATACTGCAGACCAAGAAAAAGAAAACTGCCAACATCCTGCATGACCTGAACAGAAAAAAGAATAGGCTCATAAACAGCATCCTGCCCAGAAAGCTGGGGTATTTTGGTCATGTCAAGTGCTAAAATTGTCTGGAGAGAACAATGATGAAAACAAGACAGAAGCCGGCCTCCCGCAAAGTTAGATACAGGACACTGAAGATGCATTGGCCATGAGAGCACACAGGGCTGGAGAATTGGCCAGAGACAGAGATACCTTCAAGCATGCTGCTAAGAGAGCAAGATTCTGTAAAGGACTGCTGACTGACTGATGTCTGTATAAGTAATTGTGTATTAAATGCTTTTAAACAATACATGATATGTACTATATATATATGTGTGCAATTTCTTCAGCAGTATTCAATAATAATTTTGTTATGGTCTATATATATATATACATATATATATATCATCATCATCATCAGTTCTCGTTGTGCCTAGTGGCACATGAGGCTTCAGAGAGGACTTTCCATGCTTTCCTGTCCTGTGCAATCTTCAGTGCAGTTTTCCATGTCAAAGATGCCGCACTCAGGTGACTTTCTTTCGTTCGTCTCCATGTTGTTTTTGGGCGCCCCTGTTTTCTCTTTATATATATATATATATATATATATATATATATATATATATATATATATATATATATATATATATATATATATATATATATATATATATATATATATGCCCTATGCCATTGAGGTTGCTTGACTAGAACCAGGTCACACCCTGACCTCTGAGCACCACCTCTGTAAGACAAACTGATCAGCTTCATCTCGGTAAGACAAACTGTTCAGCACCACCTATGTAAAACAAACTGTTCAGCATCATCTCTGTAAGACCAACTGTCCAGCATCATCTCTGTAAGACAAACTGTTCAGCACCACCTCTGTAAGACCAACTGTTTAGCATCATCTCTGTAAGACAAACTGTTCAGCACCACCTCTGTAAGACCAACTGTTTAGCATCATCTCTGTAAGACAAACTGTCCAGCATCATCTCTGTAAGACACACTGTTCAGCACCACCTCTGTAAGACAAACTGTTCAGCACCATCTCTGTAAGACAAACTGTCCAGCATCATATCTGTAGACAAACTTTCCAGCATCATATCTGTAGACAAATTGTCTAGCAATATCTCTGTAGACAAACTGTTCAGCACCACCTCTGTAAGACACACTGTTATGCACCACCTCTGTAAGACAAACTGTTCAGCACCACCTCTGTAAGACAAACTGTTCAGCACCACCTCTGTAAGACAAACTGTTCAGCATCATCTCTGTAAGACAAACTGTTCAGCACCACCTCTGTAAGACAAACTGTTCAGCATCATATCTGTAGACAAACTGTTCAGCACCACCTCTGTAAGACCAACTGTCCAGCATCATCTCTGTAAGACAAACTGTTCAGCACCACCTCTGTAAGACCAACTGTCCAGCATCATCTCTGTAAGACAAACTGTCTAGCATCATCTCTGTAAGACACACTGTTCAGCACCATCTCTGTAAGACAAACTGTCCAGCATCATATCTGTAGACAAACTGTCCAGCATCATATCTGTAGACAAATTGTCTAGCAATATCTCTGTAGACAAACTGTTCAGCACCACCTCTGTAAGACAAACTGTTCAGCACCACCTCTGTAAGACAAACTGTTCAGCACCACCTATGTAAGACAAACTGTTCAGCACCACCTCTGTAAGACAAACTGTTCAGCATCATCTCTGTAAGACAAACTGTTCAGCATCATATCTGTAGACAAACTGTCCAGCATCATCTCTGTAAGACAAATTGTCCAGCATCATCTGTGCAACTTCCACATAATGTTTCACTAATTGGGGTCTGCCCAAGTTTTACTTCTGTATAACAGGACTGGCTCTATATAACTCAACAGATAAAGACAGACAGCATGTTCTTCATTTTGTGAAACAGTACATCTGCTGGAGCTATCACATATTTAACACCTTGAGTAGGAACGAGCATGATGGTAGAGAGATGTTGAGGGACAGAGTTTCTTTAAGGCAGACTGTGATGGGAGCGATGTACTGCTACATAATGATGATGATTACATATTTAATGTCTAATACATCTTCCATCTGCTGTTATCAGGGTATCTTAGCACTTAAACATATCAACTTGCTTCAGTCATTAGTCTCAATTCCTTAAATGTTATATTTTCAAGGGCATATTTGCTTTGTAATAACAATTACTTCTGTTTTTCTGCTGCTCAGACTTCTTCTTATATTGCATGCCAGGTGGCACTGGTAATCAAGTCTATCCACAACCTTTTGTCTCATGTACTTTCAGTCGATTCTGAGACTAAAGCCGATGCATTCTGACTTCGAAAGAAACCCCTAATTAGTTGACACTTACGACATGCCTATTATAAAGGCATTTGTTTTGTTTTCTCTTGTGGCCTGGCAACCCACACGGGGACTTCTGAATGTCATGAAAGTATTAACTCCCAGGGAGTTTAGCATCAGAGGCCCAAGGGCTAGTCAAGAGAGACCTAAAATCGGTGCATCTTGCGTTTATTGGATGAACGTATGGTGCGTTGCTTAGGACTCAAAGAGTTAATAAAGCTCTTGACAATTCTCTTTCTCTTCTTAACTGACAAAGAAAGACAGAATATTCTTCATTTTGTAAAATGCTCCCTTTGCTCAAGCTTTTCTCCTTTGAGTTCTTTAATACATCTTCCATCTGCTGTTATCAGAGTAACCAAGTACTTAAATGTATCATCTTGCTTAAACTGACCTTTAAAAACAAACTTAAAATGGTTGTACATTGAAAACTCAGGTCCTGGCGCAAAGCTAAAGTCCAAATGGACAAACATACATAATTTTCCGTCTGAGCTTACAGCCGGGGAACAAGGAAGAAAGAAGAAGAAGAACAAACTTACCACATCTGAAAATGCTGAATCTCTAGCAGATATACCGATCACTGGTATTTTGTAGTAGCCACATGTGTAGGACACAGAAATGGGTGAATGGTCTGTAGAATTAGGGTGTGATGCCACCACTGTGAACACATGTTGGGTTAGTAATCGATCACAGATATCCAGAGCTGAGCGGATTGGGTTACTGTCCATGAGGATAGATGTGGAGTTAAAGATCAGACGTGTGTGAGCTAAGTTGCGGTTCAAAGCACTGACAGCTTGTCTGAATTCATACTCGGTTCTCTCTGAGCTCAGGGATGCACCAATGGTAATGACCTAGGGAAAAACAAACATAAATACAATCACTACAGTGTCATTCAGTGAAGGCACAACAGCCTAGCATACAACATCACAACATCTAGCACGAGAATGGAGGTGGAAGCAGTAACTGCAGCTCTCCAGTGGCTAGAGAACAAAATGCATAAACATGTCGTAATTGTAACAGACTCTGAAAGCATGTTGAGAAAGGTGAAGACAGGGATGCTTTTGAGCAGAGTGGCAAGCTTTACTGGGAAGGTCACAGGTAGTGAGCATACGTTGGATCTTTTCTACAGGCCATGCGGGTGGCGTGGGTAATGCACAGGCCAACAGAGTGGCTGGATCTGCACCACTAGGTGGTGAACTGATACATGACAAGGCAGATGTGGTCAAGGCCCTTTGAAACAAGCAACGGAATCAGCAGAGAAAGAAGACTATTATGGCCTGGACAGAATGAGGCACCTGGGTGTAACCAGAGAGTCTGGCCGGATAACTACACTCAGAGGATAGGCAAGATGGATATATAACCAGATTGTGACTGGTACCATTAGTTTTGAAACTCTGTGCTGGCTGCTGAAGATTAGGACAGAGCACACATGGGTATGCCCAGAGTGCTGCGATGTCAATTCTGAACTCAACTCAACTCAGTAAAGGCACAACATATTTCTTTGTACTTAAACAATGCAGGTGACCTAAGACCATATATCTGATGATTCCATGTCAAACAATTCTAGGATAGTTTTGCTTCCAGACTTTTCAGCCCCCAAAGTGCAGATAGATCATTACAATCTGGAGAGAATGTGCAGTGGATTCTGCCCAACACTCAGCACTCAGAGGAAAGGCAAAATGGACATATAATCAACTGCGAATGGTTCTGTTGGAATAAAAATGCTGTGTTGGCTGCTAAATATGGGAAGTGCTCTTAGGAAGGTACTTTGTGCCATGACACTGATTTTTAACTCAAACTACCTCAACTAATATGGGTGATCAGTTCTCTTCATGAGTTAATTTCTTTCAAGACATCTTTATTATGCTTTGTATCTTTCGATGCGGTACACACCATTTGTCGTACATAAACCACATCTCTGTAGCTTCCATTTCATTCATCATCTTGTAGCATGTCCTTTGCAGAAAGTCACTATGAAAGAAACTCAGTCTCTTGCCAGTTCTCTCGCCTTATGTACTTTCTCCCACAATGTGTCATTTCTGCACCCATCTTTGTCGGACCCTGCCTATCTTTCCGGCACAATACCTTCTGCTACTATTCTTTCCAATCTGCCATGACATTTGATAATGACCAAAATATTTCAGTTTTCGAGACAAGATACTGTTCAGAAACCAATCTTCTTTGATGTTTAGATCTTTCAGGACGTTATGTTTTTTTCTTTAACTTTATGACCCATTGTATTCTGGGAATTTTCTACTGCATTTTATTTCTTCTTCTTTGTGTTGACTGGCTGTAAACTCTGACAAGACAGTTCTGGTTGTTCATCCACTTCTGGACTTTAGTCTTATTCCTGAACCTCAGTTTTGCATGTACATCCATTTTACAGATCTGGTTTAGTTGTATGCAGATTGTTGGTCCTTGCCTCTCAGGCAGATGCACTCTGACTTTGAAGGAAATATCCCTAATTAGTTCTCTTATGACATGTTGGTTGGGGGAAGTGGGTCTGTTTTTGTTTTTGCCCAGAATAAGGCCCCAGAACCCAAATGGGGAACTTTTTCAACCAAAAGCCCCTATTTTTTTACAAAATGACTGTGAGATAATGCCTAACTCACATTCGTATTTTGCATGCCCTCCGAATTTTGACTTTGATTTCCTTTCTGGTGTTTAACGTTAGACTTTTAATGCTGCCTTTGGAAGGACAGCCTTTCACATATATCAGATACATATTCCACAAATAAAACATACACATATGTTATACACATTATTATATAAATATAGTTTTACCTGATCTGCAGTCCAGATGGACACTGACAATGATAAGAAAATAGTTATCGACACAAGATTCCTGACCACCCTTTGTGCCATGCTGAAGTATTATAACTTAATGATTTCAACAGCTGGTAGCACCACGCTTTTTATTATCACTGAACTGGAAATATATAAAAACACATCCTTTTAACCACAAAAGTATAAATCAAGAGACCATTTTAATTAGAAACTGTGTGAATAGAGCAATGCAACTGGAAATTATACTGGGGGCTTTAAATGAAAACCGTAATAAGTGTGACAGAAAATCACAATATCGTGCCACTGTCTTTTAACCTGTCAACATTGTTGTTAAGGATGTCAAGAGTGTTAAGCACCTGGCATTAAGGTGGAGATGACCACCGTGATGTTAGAATGATATTTCAAAGATGGCTCCCCAACTTTTGACTTTTAAGGTTTTCTTTGAAGCTCCCTCATAGTTATAATTTGTAAGGAGCTATAAAAGCACAGTGGCTAGATTGCTTGTCTGCTAGCCAGATGAGGATAGGTTTGAATCCTCATCGAGACAGATTTTAAAAATGATTCAGACTGACAGTCTAAAATGTAAGGTAAAGTAAAAGACCCTGTTCCATGCCTGTAGGCCTACTGGGCATATAGGGCTAGACCTATATTTTAAAGACCAATTAGCACTTTGTGGGTGATGTGGTAAGCATCACGCTGGCGGCTTTTGCTTCCCAGGATTGCACATGGTACCCACTAAAGGCTGGGTTGACCTGAGAGCCAAGGTCATTTATGAAAAAAAAAATCAAGCTCCGTTAGGACCCGAACCCACGTCCTTCTGATCCGCAGACGAGGGTCTAGCCGCTAAACCATGGTGACTCCCCAGTCTAAAATGGGTATCAGGAAATTCATGATACAGAAAATATGGCAACCAGAAGACCAGTCTAAAATGGGTATCAGGAAATTCATGATACAGAAAATATGGCAACCAGAAGACCAGTCTAAAATGGGTATCAGGAAATTCATGATACAGAAAATATAGCAACCAGAAGACCCCTATCATGCTAGTGTCGCATGGGGCACATGGTGCTAGATGTATTTTTATAGACCAATCTGCCCTAGTTGGGCGACATGTTGAATGTTGAATTAAGAATTAACATCACAGCACTTGGGACACTCCCATAAGCACTCCGTCCCCAGCAGCAAGCAAAGAGTTCTAATCTCGATACTACCAGTAACTGTCTGATTGTATATCCGTCTCACCTTAACTTTGAGTGCTGAGCGTCAGCTAGATCCCCTGGTAACTCCAAGCAGTCCCATTCTCCTCAGACCGTATTAATCTATTAGTGCCTCCTCACTGTTCATTCAGTCTCAATGGGCCCACATAACATCTAGGTGGGTGATATAGTCAACATTAGGCCAGGCTGACTTTATTTCTCATGAAATTTATGGGTATCATTTTAAGATGGGTCCTCCTCAAGGCATGATGATTGAACAAAAATCTGCTACACTGTGGATTCAAACTCAAGACCTTCAGGCAGACAGGAAAGCATCTAGCCACTGTGCTGCTACAGTTACTAGGGGGAGACAAAGTCAGAGTAATATTGACCACACCATACATTGAATGCTTGTTGGTCTAAAAAACAACAATATGGACATATTTAGAATGTCTTACTAGGTCAATGCATCCAAATGTTTAGCAGCAATCATCTACTGGAACACTAGGACAGGGATTAGTTGCAGTCAGAAGGGGGGCATAAAACTCACATGGTGAGCTTCTGAGATGAATGTTGCAAATAATTTAACAGCTAAACTAACAATGATTTCGTGGGAACTACAAAAAGCATTATGCAGTGTTCTTCACACATATGATAAGAAGAAAAGCACCGGACAATACTGTGATAACTGGCAAATCATAAAGGACAGACCCATAGTGAGTAATGAAGAATATGACCATCTGGTGCCTGTGGCGTGGGACCCTTTCAAATGAGTTGAGTTGAGTCAAGAATTGACATCACAGCACTCAAGGCATTCCCATGCGTGCTCAGTCCTTATCTTTAGCAGCCGGCAAAGAGTTTCAATACTGATGGTCCTTTCAAATTAGTGGTGTATCAGGTATAATGTACTAGAACAGGGCTATTCAAGAAGTGACCTATAGGCTAAATCTGGTCCACGGAGGCCTAGCAAGTGGCCTGTGAATCATTGCCAGACGTACTGTTTTAATGATCGTTCTTTGTTGGGGCTCAGGCCTCTGGTCTCTGGCAATCCTCATTTTCAAAATTCTGGCCCCTGGGTAAATTTTGCGGTTCTTTCATAATATCTTAACCCAGATGACATCACAGTACAGTCCAACATTTTAGAGGGTGGTAAGGCTGAGTTTCCAGGCTTTCTGATGCTCTTAACGACCCCAAAACATCTAGAACTGGCCCTAACCCCAACCCACCTACATCCCAAGAGAGTGCAGCTTAGGTCCCACGACTGCATGCAGCCTAGGTCACATTATGCATGCAGCTATCTAACACCCCCTGAAATATTAGACTGTTCCATGACCTGTGAATTTTCCCTATTAGGGGTAGGATGTTAGGAAAGCAAGCACACATTTAGCTGAAAAGCCCTGTACTAGACCCAAATTTTATAACCAATTGTCACTTGATGGGTGATATGGCCACCATCATGTCTGCTGCCTTTACTTTCCAGAAAATTTCCCTGTACCATTTTAGGTTGGGTCAACCTGGCAGTCAAGGTTAAGTATAAATAATGTGCTAAAAATTATGGTATCATCTCCACATAGAAATTGTCTGCAGTTGATGTACACATCCACTGCTCTATTTTGAACTAGTATGTGTTGAGGCTCCAGTCTTTTCCACAGTGTGACTCCAATGTAAGATTTCTGTGTCATCTCTTCCATGGTGTGACTCCACTTGACAATTTCTGTGTCATCTATTCCATGGTGCGACTCCACTAGACAATTTCTGTGTCATCTCTTCCATGGTGTGACTCCACTAGACGATTTCTGTGTCATCTATTCCATGGTGTGACTCCACTAGATGATTTCTGTGTCATCTATTCCACAGTGTGACTCCAC